TTTTCTTAAGTTTTAAGAGATAATATAAGAATTAAATTTAGAAAATGGTATTATAAAGTGATATAATTGAATTTATCTGTAATTAATATTTTTTTATATTATAATGTATACAAATTAAATTCTAAAAATTGATTTATCCAATAAAAATACATGAATTAGAAATAATTATTTTAATTTTTAGAAAAGAAAGTGCTATACAAACTTGTGTATGCATATCTAGACTCTTAAAAGGAAACTAATATTAAATTGTAACTCATAGTGTCGAAATTATGTGTGTCGAAGGATTTAGAGGTGGATCGAAGCAGGTTGTTCGAAAGAAGCCATTACCCAGTCGAAGAGCTTCACTATGCCAAACAAGCACATAGACAACGTCTTTTTTGGCAATAAACAGCGCTTCAAAACGCTGCCTAAACCAACACTGCTATAGGTAAAGGCAACGCTTTAGATTAATGTAAAAGCGCTGTTATATGTCCCCTTTAGGCAACGCTTTTATTTTTAAAGCGCTTTCTTATGCACCCCTTTAGCAGCGCTTTCTCTTTTGAAGCGCTTTCTATATGTATCCCTTTAAAAACGCTTTATCTTTAGACAACGCTTTTGGTTATGTTTTACGAATCTCTTTAGACAACGCTTTTCTTTAAAAGCGTTGTCTTTTTCCCACTTTAGGCAGCGCTTTTCCATTTTAGGCAGCGAAGACATCGCTTTTTCCCCATTTTAGACAACACTTTCTCATTAAGCCACTACAACATTTGTTGTCTCTGGCAACACTTTTTTAGGTAACATGTAGAAATTGTTGCCTTAAATTCATATAGGCAACGATTTACGATTGTTGTCAAAAATATGTTTGCAACCCTTGATAATCGTGGCCTAAAATACTTTTGGGGACGTTTATGGAGCGATACTCTTTTATTATTTTGCCAATGGTTGTTAATTGTGCCTTAACTGCTTTTGGAGACCATTTTAGAGCGTTAAAATATTATTTCTTTAACAATGTTTGACAATTGTCCCCTAAAATATTTTTGGGGACATTTTTAGATTGTTACATTAGTTCTAATAAAAGGCTACATTTCTGAAATGTTGTATAAATTTTTTTAGAATTATCAAATTTTTGGTGGCAATCTTCCCTCCAAAACTTATACACTAAAAAACAAATATTTTTCTCTAAACATTATTAATATATATAAAAAAAATATTTTTCTAACACAGGAATTTAAAAATAAAAAATTTCAATTAAACAGAAAATAAAAAATTATATATATATATATATATATATATATATATATATATATATATATATATATATATATATATATATATATATATATATATATATATATATATATATATATATATATATATATATATATATATATATATATATATATATATATATATATATATATATATATATATATATATATATATATATATATATATATATATATATATATATATATATATATATATATATATATATATATATATATATATATATATATATATATATATATATATATTAGTCTGAAACTTATATATATTTCAATTAAACAGGAATTTTTCTAACACATTATTAATATTTCTCTAAAACTTATATATATATATATATTAAAAAAAAATTCATTAAACACAAAATAAAATTTTTTCTAACACAGGAATTTACAAATATTTTTCAATCCATTCCCGTTCCATTCTTCTCTCGCCGTAAGTCATCTCTATCCCATTCCATTCCTCAACTTCAATAACTGCATCACTTTTCTCACAACATTCTCACTCTCGCTGAATCCAGCTCTCATGATTCCGAAGCAAGTTCGAGAAATCAAGCTTCGCGTAACAGCGACTCCACTCGTTTATCGCTTACTCACTTCCTCGATCGCAAACTGCATAACTCTTCAACAGTCCCTCAAACCGTTCCGGTAAAATTCTGGATCCAAAATTACTCTTAGGGTTTCGGGCTGATTTAATATATATGGGATATGTTGAAGTGTGTTGATTTGTTTCATTTATTTGTTGTTCGTTTCGAAAGCACGTGTTTCTTTTCTTGGATGAAATTTTCTAATTTGTTTTTGAATAGGGGAAATTGACGCCTTTCAATCACCGGCTAGTGAGCAAGATGGAAGCGTCAAACTAACTAAAGAAGAGAGAAAGTCTGCAACTGCTGATGAGAAGTTGATTTTGGGAATGTTCAAGCAAGAGGGCAAATGTGACTTTGTTCCTCCGTTAGATCTTGATGAGTTAGGAAATTCTGTGGCAGGTGATGGTCAAGGAGCTAGGAAAAGGAAAAATCCATTTGAAGGTTTGGATTCCTATCCCAATGAACTTGAGCACCGCGTTTTGGCTCTGTTATTTATTATTCTTATGGGAAAGTTGAAACTGTTATTTAGGGAAATAATACAATTAAAGTGTCCTTCTCTTTTACTTTATCGACTAGTTAGTTATTGCAAGTGAGGTTCTTTGTTTAATTTATTGATGTCATATAGAGATATTTGTTTCAGTCTATTTTACTTGGAATGGTCATGAAAAAAGATTTTATACTGACAACCATTTTAACTCCATTTTGGAAGATCAAGTAGGCACCATGTCTCTGATTTCATACTATGTATGTCGTTCATTGTCATATGCTTCTTTAGGAAACTTCAATGTATGCCATTATTTCAGTTTTTTGAGTTTGGTAGCAAGCAAGTATGAGTCTTGCACTGCTCTTAGGGTTTCATTGTTTGATTTTAAAGTTGGTTGGCAATCCTCTTTCGGCCGAATATATTGATCAACTATAGATTATTCAGAGGAAGGCAAAAGAGTTGTATGTATTGGGTACAGGGACAGGACAGCTGCATAAGACTGATTGAGAAGTTCAAATGGAGTTGTCTAATGCTAAACCCCCCCTTTTTTATGTACCTAGATTGGTGTCGAGACTCAAAAACCTATCCAGATAGATAACTTATGGTCAAACCTATAGAATATGCAGACCATAACATTATAAATTTCAGTTAAGGTTAAGACACCAAAAACTATAGTATAGGATGCAAACTTGTTTCTTGGGCTGTGGTGTAGGCATGATTTTGAGTGTAACTATTACATGATGCTAGTTTTCACCCAACGAGTATACTGATATTGGACATTTGGTATGAATGTGATAATTCATAAAAAAATATCCATGAAGGCAACTGATAATGATATTGGACTTTGACTTTGTGCATGTTTAGATTAAAAGTTCACCAATTTATTCTAATTATTAAAAAAAAAGTGTTTCATTTCTTGATCTTGTCTTATCTTATAATTTATGTAGCGGAAGTTTATCTTGCCGGTTGAAGCACGAGATTGGATTGAGACCACTGTTAGAGAGGCATGGAGAAGATATAAGCACAAAATTAAGAAGAATCATTTTTTGAAGTATTCCAACATGACCGAGAGACTCAAAAATCGTCCGCCAAACGTACCAATAGCCCAGTTTAAGAGTCTTTGTGCTTATTGGAGTAAGGAAAGTATACAAGTAAGATTAATAATTTTTTTTATGTATGTGTGTGAATTTACACCTTTCTATGTATGCCATAATTAAGTAATATTTATTATAATAATTCTGTCAAATTTAAATGTAGGCAATCAGTGAAAATAACACTAGAAATAGAGCTCAACTAAAGTGGATGCATCGAATGGGTCCCAAAAAACTTTGCTTTGACTCGTGAAAAAGTGGTAACTTTCTCTTGTTCTCAAAAAATTATTCCTTGTATGAATGTTTTTTTTGTTCAATTAAAGTATTCGTGAAAAACTTTTCTTTGACTCGTGAATAGGAATTTTAATTCACATAATTTGTTATGGAATTATTTTGATTTGTGCAGCGTGAAAAGGAAAAAAGAGAGCCCACTCAATCAAAAATGTTTGTTGAAACTCGAAAAGGAAATAAAGGAAAGGAACTGGATGTAGAAACTGGAAAAGTAATTGTATGTAACATTGTTTATATAATACGTTTGCTTAATATAATCGGCCAACATTGTCTATAATAGTAGCTAATTTTTTTTTGTTGTAATTTATGATAGTCACAACTTCAAGAAATGGTTGAAAAGGAGGAAAGTGATACAAAAGCTTTTAAAGTTTTTTTTGGAAAGGAGTGTCCAGGCAGGGTACGCTGTTATGGGAGAAACATAACTAAAACTTCCTTAAAGAGAAAGGCGGAGATTAATGCTTTGAAACAAGCCCACAGTGAAGAGGTCTCTACATTAAGGGACGAGTTTCAAGATAAGATTGATAGATTGCAAAATGCTTTTAAGACCTTAATACAACAATGCAATCCTCAAATTAATATAGAGTCAATTGAAGATTTGTTAGGATTATCTCATGGAGATGCTAATAGTTCCCCAAAGGATATAAGACCGCAAATGCATTCATCTACATCAACTCATGCTCCATGTCATGGAAAGGTAACCATATATACCAATATTATTGATTTTTATTTTTCTAATTATGTTATAGTATCAAAATGGTTGTTAATGTATGCAAAAATTTACAAGTAGTGACAACACCTAGAATAAAGTAAGTGGTTGAAATTGTTTAAGTAGTGACAACACCTAGAAGTGGCTGAAACTGTTTTATTTGTGCGAGCTTTCATTGATATTTCACAAACATACTTGCCTGGGATAAGATTATGGGACCCCCTTGTTTGATAACACTCACTATGTATGCTGTAAATTTATTCATATGATACTGAACACCAAAGAAGATACAACAAGTAAGAGTGTTCATCAGAGTTCATTTACTCCAAAAAATAAACATAAAAGGATAGCACAAGTTATACATACATACATACAGTTAAAGGCTATTGTAAGTCCTGAATAGTGAGCCAAAAACAGAATGGTTTTCATAATTGATTTATTTGCTAGTAAGCTCATGTCACCTATTACAGTTTAGAACGAAAATTCACATCCATTAAAAACCTTCATAATTAATTCACATCCATGAGATGTGAAGAATATAAACAATGTGTTTTGCTCATTGGTTTAGTTTTTATTTGTGCGAGGTTTAATTCTTGTTCATGTCTTAATTATCCTTTGGACCAAAAATACTTATGGTTAATGTGTTTTATTTTATTTTCTTATGCAGCAATGTATCAATGAAGATGTTGAAAAGGATGATATAAATGATGAAATTCAAGAGGACGACATAAATGATAAAATTCAAGAGGACGACCTAAATGATAAAATTCAAGAGGACGACGTAGATGACGAATTTCAAGAGGACGCCATAGATCTAGATGATGAATTTTAAGAGGAGGATATAGATGGTGAATTTCAAGAGGACGACGTAGATGAAGAATTTATGGAGGATGACATATCTAACGATTTCAAGAGGACGATCTGGATGCTTTACTCCTAGAAGACAAACTTGAATGAGTTGGATGATGTCTTTTTTTTGGCTTGTAGTTGAAAGCATTAAACTTGAAATATGATTTTTGTTCTTTTGCTGAACTATGTTTTTAGTTATTTTACTAGGGTCATACTTCAAAGTATTAAAAGTAATATTGTTACGTTAGGCATTTTGTGTACTCTATATACTATATCTTGAATTAAAGTTTGAACTTGATTTTATTATATTACAACTTTTATGGATGTAAGGTTTAAGTTATATAATCAATATTATTTTTGAAGCCAATTATTATTGACTATATTATTTTGATAATAATTGCAAAATTGTATATTTTATGTGGACACTATAAAACAACAACCTATAAGCTATGGCTACACTTCAAAAACGATCTTCCTGATTCAGGTTTAAGGCAACGATTGTTAATTGTAGCCGAATTTGGCAATGCAACGCTTAAAAAACGTTGTCTCAGAGGCCGTAAATAATCGTCCCCTATTCCTTTACTATAGGCGACGTTTTTCAAAAGCGTTCCCAAAAAACATAAAAAAACGTCGCCTCAAACAATAGGCAACGCTCGCACAGGAGACGCCTAGAAAACGTCCCCTATTGTTTTAGGCAACGATTTTCAGAGTTCTGGCAACGTTTTTCAATTGTTGTTGGAGAGCCTAAATGTTGTAGTGAGCGCTGTCTAATATTCATAATTTTTTTAAATATTAGACTTAAATCCAAATTTTCACCATATTTTGCACCATGTTTTCACCATACTTTGCACCAGATTTGGTAGCTTCAATCTAATATAAATGCACCAAATTTGCATATACAAAAAATCTACATAAATATAATTGATGATATATACAACAACAACTTGAAAATTGATGATACAACTTGAAAATTCTAAAATTCTAAATTGATGTTTAATATACATACAACTTCGAGAATTTCTAAAAAATAACAACAATGAACTTGTCAGCTCTATCTTGTACATCTGCATCTATAACCTGAAACAAAACCAAAAGATCAAAATTCATACCATGATAAAACAAAACTTTATTCGAATTTATACTCAAAACTCGAAAGTTATACTCAAAATTCACATCAATGAAAGAAAGACAATATATCTTATAAAATTCTCAACTCCATAATGAATTGACACCATTCCTCCATATGTTCATCCAATTGATCTTTTGAGTAATGAGCACAATTGAATTCGTCAAAGTACTACATAATAATATAACATAGTATGTGATTTAGTTAAAACACTATGCCATTTTATGAGAAATATTAAAATAATTCCTAAGTTAGAAATCCATACCGTGGATGGAATCTCTATTCGGTCCAAAAGAAGTGTTTCTTTCATAAACCTAAATATGAAATAACCACAATCTATACCATTATGTTGACGAGGACACTACGCATGGAAATAAAATACGGATATATATTAGGATATACCCCTTAACTTGTTTTATCAAGTATCATCACTAATATAATCGAAATTGTGAACATATACCTGCACTGTGATCCATATAATGTTGTTGGCTCTACTCTTTGGTACTTGAATACATATTTGTGATCGAAAAGCTTGTAGAGCGCTATAATAAAATATAAACGACTATTTAGAATAATCTCACATAGATAAATAAATATACACACGAATATTTAGAACAATTTTACTTACGTATCAATCACCTTCTTCAAATTTGGGTATGTTGTCCAATCATTATATGACGAATCTAGACAGTATACAATTTCTGCTACAAGATTAATCGCAAGCAACAACCGATATCCACTATAAGATTAAACAAATGTTAGATGGAAAGTTTCTACACAACGTCAAAATATGAAAAATTATAATAGATGAAGTTAGGATGAAAATCTAACCCGTGGCCAGTATTATATGGTAAAAATAACAACTTTTATGTATCTTTGCTGGCCACAAATAAACCGAGTACATACGATATGACATCATCGGGTTTTGTTAGGATTAAACCTGTGTTAACGGTGTTAGGAGTTAAGAAAGGGAATCTTTCTTCCAATCCACATGGGCGCATCACTTTGTCATACAAAAAACCTTAAATAAAAACATCATTAAAATTAAACTATATTCGTTGAAATGAGTAAATAAATTGTTCGTTTAATTAAACAACGTTGATCGTAGTATACCTAATGTATGTATCGATAACACCAAGGTCTAAAGTCAAATGTTGAAAAACTTGACCCATATCTTCTCTACCAATTGCTTCCATGTATTCATAACTAAAAATATCCACCGGAATAGGTATAAGACGTGTACCACCAATTGGAATATCTGTTATTCCTATATATGTCCAAAGGCACGACCTATACTGAGAAGTAGGTTTTTTGCTAGTCGCGGTCTTCTTACCCCTACTGACTTGTTCAATCTCTTTAGCATGCATTTAAATATTATATAATTAGTTAGGTGAAGTATAAGATCATTCTATGTATAAATATCATATAATTGTGTTATACCTCTTTTTTTGATGCAACTGACTCGGTTTGCCGCATCATCCCCTTATCTTTTGGTTTGGGTTTTGTAGGAGTGTAACATTACCATGTAAAAAAATGTATGTAAAATGCTCGTAAAAACTTTGAATACTCAAAGGTTCATAATGATTTTAAGCATACCTCATCGTCTACACGAATGAGGCTTGACGGCCATGCAACATATGCACCTACTGCCTCTCCCACCAATGTTGCATCCGAAACATCGTCTGGTATTGGTAATAACACACCCCCTCTAAAGCAATATTAATTGATACCTTCAAACATCCAGCAGGGAGCGGTTTATGGTGAAGTACTTCTCCCAAAGTATTATGCACTTTCCCCTTACCAACAATCCAATAATTCGGTGACGATAAAGAGAGTTGACAAGGTGAAATGTCCTAAAACCAATAATAAATATGACATTATTTATGTGTATATATATATATATATATATATATATATATATATATAAATGTCAATTAAATAAATTACACTAATTTAATTTCATAATGATATATATAATTACCTCGGGAATATTCGGTTGAACATTACAACTGACACTAGCTTTGTCACTAGTATCTTTAAAACCTGAAGCTTCCCTTTCTGATTGATCTCTTCCTCTTTCCTTTCTCAACTCATGAACTTCAGCTTCTAATGCTAGCAACTTTGCCTGCAGTTCTTTACTTCTAGGAGATTTTGTCTTTTTCAAGGATGTTGGAGTGACCCCATGTCCCATACCCCTCACCCGACGGGAATACTCACGAACATCTAATGCTCGATTGAGTATGCTCCTGCAACAGTGTAGTCATTTGGAGATATAGACTGAGACAGATTCTCCTAAAATTTATATGAATATCGAAAAAGCATGAATATTATATGTTAATAAACTTTTGATTTAATTAAACTATTAATGTTATACTTACACATTTCTCAAAAATTTGTCGAACCTCTTCTTTAACAACTCCATCCTTACCCACACGGGTAGCCTTCCATAAAACATGTTTCAGAACTATTCTCCTCTTTTAACTACAAATTAAGACAAAAAATAAGATCAATTATAACTCATGATTAACAATTATATCATTGCAATTTATATATACTTACTATTTTTTGTTGTAAGCGTGCATATCCCGTACGCCCTTTTCTGTATGGATATGCGGGACCTGATGCTCGTTGGTGATTTACAACACTCGTATTCTGAAATTTTCCGGTTCTCCGTTTGTCTTTAAAAGTGTCTCATTCTTCCAGTGAAATCAAGTCTGCATATATACTTGGAAGCTCAGAATCAACAAAATTTTATTCGGTATCTCTTAGATACTTGTCTGATAAAAAAGATCTAAACCCTCTATGTCTTTTTCCAGCCAATTGAAGACAATAAGCTCTTCTGGTATCATCAATATTGAAAGACCTCTACGAAAAACATCCAAAAAGTGTATTAGTATAAGTAATTTAAAGACATAATCGTAATAAAAAACAAATAACATCACATATGGTACCTGTATCTCACTCCAGATTTTGTCTTTACCAGTATCCAACTGCTCGTTTCTCCAAAGAACAAGACGCATACCTGCAAGATTGCAAGATTGTGTGATTACATCAGATGATATGATAGATAATGAAGGTGAGTTGGTACATTATTCTTTCTATGCAGATGTCGAACCTGTCAATGCAGCTGAAGCATTGAAGAATTCAAAGTGGGTGAAAGCAATGAACGAAGAAGTGAAGTCTATCAAAGACAACAACACTTGGTCACTTGTTGAATTTCCTCAAGGTAAGAAGACAATTGATGTCAAGTGGGTATACAAAGTAAACATAAATCCCAAAGGGGAAGTAACTCGACACAAAGAAAGACTTGTGGCGAAAGGATTTCTACAAAAAGAAGGAATAGACTTCGATGAAGTTTTTGCACCTGTTGCTAAGATCGAAACAATTAGGTTGGTTGTTGGTTTAGCAGAAATAAACAGATGGCACATTTGTCAGGTGAACGTAAAGTGTGCATTCCTGAATGGACCCTTATACGAAGAAGTTTATGTTAAACAACCAGTTGGGTTTGTGAAACATGACGAAGAGAGAAAGGTGTACAAGCTGCATAAAGCCCTGTATGGATTGAAACAAGCTCCAAGAGCTTGGAATAAGAAAATTGATAGTTTCCTAAGGGAGAAGGAATTTCTAAAGTGCACAATTGAACATAGAGTATATGTAAGAAGAAGCAATAGTGAATTGCTTATACTATGTCTCTATGTCAATGATTTGTTGATAACAGGTAGCTGCAAAAGTGAGATCGAAGACTTCAAAGGTGATCTCAGCAAGGAATTCAAAATGTCTGATCTGAGTGAGATTTCATATTTCCTTGGCATCAAATTCTACAAGAGTAGTTGAGGTTTGATGATGCATCAAACAAG